CCCCCCCACTCCTGATCCCGGTAGAGGCCAAGCCCCCCCCCATTTGTTGAAGTGCCCCAAGACTGTGCTACCTTGTGCCCCGTCTGTGGGCTGCTGAGAGGCCCGGGAGGGGCGCGTGCAGCGTCCTGCTTAGCAGGTAACATTTGGCAGGGCCGCGGGGGCAGGGCTACCCAGCACGAGCGCAAGTCGGGGGGGGGGATAGCCCAGTGGTTTGCGCTTTGGCCTGCTGAGCCCAGGGGTGTGAGCTCAATCCTCAAGGAGCCCATTTGGGGCAATCATCTGTCAGGGATGGTGCTTGGTCCTGCTGCGAAGGCAGGGACTGGACTCAGTGAGCTGTCAGGGTCCCTTCCAGCCCTAGGAGATAGGCTATCTCCATACATTTAAATATAGCTCTGCTGGAGTGCACCTCTGCACGCTTCTGCTAGCAGCCTCCTTCAGCATGGTGCAGTGTTTCTTAAACCAAGGAGCACCAAACAATATTTTTGTCCTTATGAGGAACACCAAGGATTTTTGGGTGAGCAAAAAAAAAAAAAAAAAAAAAGGTCAGGGGGGAAGTTATTGAGGAAAAAAAGGGTCAGGCAAAACTTAGTGAGAAAAAAAAGGTTGCCTGCCCCTTGCCCCTTTAAGGGCAGCCATTCTGAGTTCTGTTTTTCTGTGCAGCACACCTCCAAATGCCTTGCAGCACACCAGTGTGCCGCGGATCACAGTTTAAGAAACACTGGTATAGTGCCTAAACTGTGGGCTGTTGTACTTGAAGAGCCATTTAGACAGTCTTGGTGCCTACTAGCGAGGTACTGTGCACTGCAGGTTTTCCTTGGGATGGCTGTATCAGAGTTTTGCAGCCATTTTATGTTGATACACCTGAAATAAACTGACTGCAATTAAATCATGAATAGTCCCCTCTTAAGACTGTACATTTCTTGGAGCAGAAACTGTCCTACATCTTCCTTCATGTTTATACTGTACTCAGCAGTTGGTAGCTACTGTGTTAACGATCAAGAATAATTATACTTATGTCCTATGCACCTTTTCACATCTTCAAAGTGTTGTACAAAAGTAAACCAACTACTCTTTGCAGAAGTTAAGTGATATGCCCACTTCCCATTACTCAAAGTAAACAAAGAAGCTGAATGCTACAGTTAATCTTTACTCTTGCCTCTGGTTAGTCCTATAAATTTCATTGATTACTCTTTTTAGGTGACAGAGAAATTGCCTCAAGATACTGTACTATCATTGTCCTTAATGTGCTTTTTGCTATAGTGGATTGAACTCTGGCTGTGGAATCATGGAACAAACCAGGGCCCTTATGGTCTTTTATATGTGTCCAAAAATAAAGAAAATATGGTGAATCTCACATGAAGGTACATTTAGGCCTGGTCTACATTAGGAGTTTAACTCCAACTTAACCGCATC